GTAATAAGCGCGATTCCTTTTTGTTCACGGATGTTGAATTCAATTTAGACTTTTGTTCATAAACAACAACTACACTTCCGAGTAATAAATCACTGTTTGCAAAAAATTGAGCCTATATCATCACAAAAATTCAAGCTTATTTTTAGAGTCAAATAGTTTCTCCATGGATGAAAGTAGTTTTTATGGAGTGGAAAATAGGGCAAGTACGAGTTTAAAGAAGGTCAATTTGCACTTGTATATCTCACTTCGAAAAGGATATACATACTAAAAACAGGTATATTTGCACTGCGAAATTAAACTGCTGCAACAAAGTTTTTATTTCTACTTTCGCGTTCTTATTCCAAAGCAAACACTTCTAGGTTGGAAATGCCTAAAATTGTGAGCATAGAAACACTAAACAAACAAGAAAATGACTTCATAACACGAGCAGTTTTGGCAAATTTGATGTTTGTTTCTATAATTTAGTCACGCGATTAACCCGCGCTCACGTGCACTCCACGCTTACGTTTCTCGCGCATGCGTAGACAAAAGTCCACCCTGTTGCACAGTCGTGTTTCCATGCAGCACAATCGTGTTTCCATGCAGCACAATCGTGTTTTCATGCAGCACAGTCGTGTTTCCATGCAGCACAGTCGCATTTCCTTGCAGCACAGTCGAACAAGGGCAAATAATGTTAGCCAATCAGCGCGTTTGTTTACATTTTGCGTTCTTGACCAATCAGAATGCCTGAAATTCGAAACATGTAAACAAAAGGAGTGAGAAAGTAACACCTTGTTCCACGCTCTCGGTGACATTCGATATTAAACTTTTTTCGCCAAAACTGACAAATTCTGCTAAAGCATGCTTTCTTCTTTAATTTCCTCGGGGGGATTTTTAAAATTCAATCTAGAACGCGAAATATTTATCTTTGAATAACAGTGTTTCGACGCGCGTAAAATAGCAGACTCTCACTTGCACTATCTTTACACACACATAAAAAATTGGTAGATTTGGCAGTTTAAACTTATTTTCCCCACACCACAGCTCACATGTTTTTAAATATTACCTATCTGATCTCATCGATCTCATTTCGCATCGGAAATGCGTCACAACGATCCAGGACTGACAGGTACAATATCGCATGACTCATTACTGTACATTAAAAGTACATATGACATATCCGGTTGGCAAAATGGCGATTGTCTGACAGACCTTCGCGAATGGCTTAATATTTTTGCTAATAAACTGTTCACGAGGGTTTCGTTCTGTTCGTCTTCTGGTTCGTCGTCAATCGTCATGGGCTGCCTCACTTTCTTGGTCGCTTTCGTCCTCTTCAAAGCAAGTCGCCGGGGCAATCAGCGTTACTATTTGCTGTCTTTCGAAGACCTTCCAAAAGCTTCAACATTTGCCAACGTTATTGCTTCACAAACTGGGCAATCGCTGATGTTGGGCAGGAGGCATTCGATGTGGAACGTAGGTCCACAACCACGGAAAACGTTCCAAATGGATTAACCTTTTCGCAGGCAGGCAAATCGCAGGTAAGATTTATATTTTATATTTACAGATCTTGATACATTTATAGTCAGCGTCCTTGGAGATTGTTCCAAAATATGAGTGTGTGCCAAAGTTAAAATAATACTCATAATCTCCAGAACATGTTTGGACAATGTTTTGAATCACTGCAGTTTAGAATTAGCAGTCGTTTTAAAGACAACAGAACTGGCAGCCATGGCACCCCATAACTATTCAGTGTACAATACCAGACAATGTAAATTACCACCTCCCCCAACCCAGAAGTAGGCAGTTTTTATTTCCCAGCACTGCATAATCAAAATTGCTGGATTGTATAAATGTCTGGCTTTGTCTCAGTGGCCCTGCTTTGCCCCATGAACCCCACACTTCCTAGATTCAAGCAAGCGGGGACTTATATTGACTGGTACTTAGGTCCTGTTTATATGGAAGCCGGGCTGGCCCGCTAAGTGAGACAGCCCGGTAAGCGAGATCTCGCTGTGTAGTTATTTTTATAGTAAAAATTATTGTGCGTTTATATGGACAAGTGGGCTGGCCAGGTTGCCGAGATCTCACTTGAAAAGAGGTGAGATCTCACTTGAAAAGAGGTGAGATCTCGCTTACCGGGGTGGAAATTTCTCCATATAAACACTCACAAGCAGGCTAGCCCAGTTGCTGGGATGAAAGATACCGCCGCAAGCTATTTTTAACAACTGTCAAAACCAGCAAGCGGGATGAAATTTTCTCATATAAACACAAGAGAAATTCATCCCACCTGCCTGTCTCGCTAAGCAGGCCAGCCCGGCTTCCTGCATATAAACAGGCCCTTAGTTGAATTGCAGCACTTGGTCTGCCTGTGTGTTACTTTTAAGTGTACCCTGGTTCTTTGCAAGGTAAAAGAAACAAGAGGTGAGAATGGAAAGCCTCTGATCATATCAATTGCAAATCCCACTTCCACACTTGAATAGGTTCAGAATTTTTGAATCTCGCATGTGATTGGCCATTTGTAAAAATATGTCAAATCTGTTTGGCAAATAAACACTACTGTGAGCTAATTATAGCTATCTATCTATTTAGCTTTGCCAACTAGGGCCGGGTCACCACAACAGCATATGCCAATTACTGTGACTGTGAGCCCTTTTTACCCAACCCACCCTGTCAACTTTCCATGTGGGAGGAAACTGGAGTACCCGGGGAAAACCTGTGACGTTCGGCAGAGCGTTGCGGTTTATTCTTTTCACATGAGGACTGGGTTTGATTCGCATTGAGAAAGTTCTCACTGACTTGAACCTGCGGCCTCAGTGGTGACAGGCAAGTGAGCTAACCACTTGGCCACCGAAGCCCCAATTAAAAAGCCCCAAGCTATTATAGTAAACTCAACCAAGCATGAATATTAATACTCCCGCAGGTGAAAAGGTATTAAATTTCTCAGGAGATAAACATATCAACATTGATCAGTTTTGGAGGACATTGTTAGTAATACATTCTTGGTTGAGTTTAACAGAATATTTTAATACAGGCTATAATTAGCTTACAGCAATGTTTATTTCCCAAGCCAGTTTGGCATATTTTTACAAATGGGCAATCACATGTGAAATTCAAATGCTGAACCTAATCAAGTGTGGAAGTGGGATTCGCAATGGACAGTGACCCTGGGCTGTACACAGCACAGGGGAGGGGGCGGCAGGAGGGGGAAACTGCCCTCCTAAAGAAAACTATATTTACAATTTTTAGAATGTCATTATTAATTATTCTTTGGATATTTGGAACTTTTTTCAACATATAAGCCTTACTGCCCCCTGGTGATACGGCCCTGATGTGACCAGAGGCTCTCCGTTCTCGCATCTTGTTTCTTTCGCCTCGCAAAGAGCCTCTGGAACCAGAGTACACTTAAAGTAACACACACACAGAGCAAATAATATAATGCTTTTAAGGCAGTGAATTGGTAGGGAAATCTTTCAATAATATCCTGTGATTATGGTAAACTATGTACCAATTCAACCAATACCAGACAATATAAATCCCTGCCTGCTCAAATCCCAAAGTGTGGGGCAAAGCAGGGTCACTGAGACAAAACCAGATATTTACACACAGATATTTACAAATAGTGACAGTGCTGAGAAGTAAAAACTGCCTACTTCTGGGTTGGGGGAGGTAGTAATTAATTACATTGACTAGTATTGTACACTAAATAGTTATGGGGTGCCATGGCTGCCAGTTCTGTTGTCTTTAAAAGAGTTAAAGGACTGCTAATTCTAAACTGCAGTGATTCAAAACATTCAAACATGTTCTAGAGATTATGAGTAATATTTTAACTTTGGTACACACTCATATTTTGGAACAATTTCCAAGGACGTACTGACTATAAATGTATCAAGATCTGTAAATATAAAATATAAATCTTCCTTTAAAATTTCCATCGATTTGCGATTTGCCTGCCTGCAAAAAGGTTAATCCACTTGGAACGTTTTCCGTGGTTGTGAACCTTCGTTCCACATCAATTGCATCCTGCCCAACATCAGCGATAGCCCAGTTTGTAAAGCAACGTTGAAGCTCTTGGAAAGACAGCAAATACTAACGCTGTTTGCTCCGGCGACTTGCTTTGAAGAGGACGAAAGCTACCAAGAAGTGAGGCAGCCGATGACGATTGACGACGAACCAGAAGACGAACAGAACGAAACCCTCGTGAACAGTTTATTAGCAAAAATATTAAGCCCTTCGCGAAGGTCTGTCGGCTATTAACTGTGGTCAGACAATCGCCATTTCGCCAACCGGGTACTTTTAATGTACAGCAATGAGTCATGCGATATTGTACCTGTCAGTCCTGGATCGTTGTGACGCATTTCCGATGCGAAATGAGATCGATGAGATCAGATAGGTAATATTTAAAAACATGTCAGCTGTGGTGTGGGGAAAGTAAGTTTAAACTGCCAAATCTACCAATTTTTTATGTGTGTGTAAAGATAGTGCAAGTGAGAGTCTGCTATATTACGCGCGTCGAAACACTGTTATTCAAACATAAATATTTCGCGCTCTAGATCGAATTTTAAAAATCCCCCCGAGGAAATTAAAGAAGAAAGCATGCTTTAGCAGAATTTGTCAGTTTTGGCGAAAAAAGTTTAATATCGAATGTCACCGAGGGCGTGGAACAAGGTGTTATTTTCTCACTCTTTTGTTTACATATTTCGAATTTCAGGCATTCTGATTGGTCAAGAACGCAAAATGTAAACAAACGCGCTGATTGGCTAACATTATTTGCCCTTGTTAGCTGCTCCACAATTCCTATTACACTGTCTTGTTTCGAGAAGAAAAAAATTGTAGACGGACGTCTGGCTCAGTTTCTGCTTCCGATTGCAACAGTAACAAATGTTCCTGGCACAGCAATTTATATCGCCGTAGTTGCTATATTTCTTGTCCAGACCTTTCATCCCAACATGATGAGTTTCACTTCGTCCATCCTTATCTGGTAAATATGAAGTCTGCACCTGATATACTGTTATTGTTATACTGATATGTTACCTTATATACTGTTAGGTATAAATTGTAAGATTAACGACCCTAGTAATGACGAATTTATATTGTCTTTTGTTACTAGTTTATCATCGTCAATAGCAACACTTGCTGCCCCACCTATTCCTGCTTCTACACCTCTAGCGGTTAAGGGCATTGTTTTACAAATCATTGGGATACCAACAGCAGATATTGGATTAATTGTCGCAATTGATTGGTTTATGTAAGTAATTGTCGCAATTGATTGGTTTATGTAAGTTTACTAATAATTATTGACGAGGTTAGGTTCCAATTCGGCACCAACTATCCACGATTTACTGCGATTATATATTGCTAACATGAGTCTTTCGTTTTCAATCGTTGATATCTCCTCTATATACGAATCAAGGCCAATTGTCTATATGCGTTATATTTTACCTGATTTCCCTTGCCGAAAAGCAACCGCCCCTCTCATCAGTTCTGCATGGCTTGCCCTAGCTAAACGTCATATGAATCAATAAAGAAACTGGACAAATGCACAGAAGAGGTTCAACTATGGATGTATACTTGCTCAGACGAGTTCTAATCGAATACTAGGTCACTCACTAGGAAAATAAATGTCCATATAGCATCTAAAAGTTGCCTCTGCATGCGGACGAGAGAACAACATATAGTTAACATAGTATAACTCAGAGAAAGTAAAAGACAGCTCCCATTATAATGCACGCATATGCATCACACATGTTCTTCATGTGAAAACCTTTTTTAAAAAAGCCAATAATTAAAAGCTCCTGCAGTAATAGAAACAAAACTACGTATTTTGCCTGTTCTATTTCGTTATTTTCACACAAATCTATGCTTGCCCAAAGGGGACAAAATTACGAACATGTGCATATAATTTGCATTACGCATATATCATTTTTATATGTCCAAATATCATCTTCAATCCAAAGTCGTCGAAGTCGAGAAAAAGATCGTCAAAGTTGAGTACAAATTCGTCGAAGTCGAGTAGAAATTTGTCGAAGTCGAGTACAATTGCAAATTCGTCGAAGTCGAGTTGAAATTCGTTGAAGTGGAAGTTGAAATTCGACAAACAAAATCATCGAAGTCGAATGCTAAAACATTTCTTCGTCCAGTATGATAATTTTTTTATAATATATACTGAATACGTCATAGTTGTGCAAATAATTATGTCGAATCGAATGCAACCATGATGCAACGTATATGATTAAAGTCCAGCAATCGACTTGATTTTCAGACAAGACATAGTATATATTATAAAAAATTTATCATACTGGATGAAGAAATGTTTTAGCATTCGACTTCGACGATTTGTTTGTGGACTTCGACCACGAATTTCAACTTCCACTTCGACGAATTTCAACTTCCACTTCAACGAATTTACTCGACTTTGACGATCTTTTTCTCGACTTCGACGAATTTGGATTGAAACTGATATTTGGACATATGAAAATGATATTTGCGTAATGGAAATGATATGTACATGTTCGTAATTTTGTCCCCTTTGGGCAAGCATACAAATCTGATTTGGCCGTTTTAATTTTACATTATTAATTATTTGTAACATTTTTTACAGAGATCGCTTCGCTACTCCTGTCAATGTTTGGTCGAACTGCATAGCCTGTGTTGTTATTGAACATTATTCACGTGAAGAACTTCAGTCATTAGATGACATCACTACACCACGTGAAGAAGCATGCACTGCCGTGAGTAATGATACATACACTGATGTCACTATTGATATTGCTGACGAAGTCGAAGTAACAATACAAACTAAAGACAATAAAGAAATACAAGGCATTGTTTTAGGGGCCTGAGTAAAAGTATAAACAGCATAATGCGTTTTTAATTTGTATAACAAATTAAATAACAAATAATATTTTATTTCATAGAAATTTTATCGATTTTGAACAAATGTATATGTCCATGCCAACCACTGTGATGTTGTTAACATTTTGGATGAGGCTCATAGACAACCTCGTACCTAGGCTCTTTCCTCTACGCTCCTCGCTTGATTCAACAATTCGGACTTATTGGGGTTGAGTATAAGGCAAATGTGGCGTTCGAGTTATATCTTTAGTTGACTCATAAACTGCGTCTCACTGAATTATAGGCCTACATCAATACTTGAGCCAACGTATTCTTTTGTCCACCAGAAGAGTAAAAGCGCTTGCCCGCAGCAGAGCTATATTTAAATAAACTGCGTCTCACTGAATAATACTGTGTTACTGACCGTTGTTTTATATCCACGAAATATCTCTTCCAAAAGTATGGGCATATATAAACTTGCTATAATTCTTTATCACAGAGTCTCGGCGATAGTAGTACACATATATAGTTGGCAGGATCACAGGATCTTGCTATTTTATAGCAATTAATTCCTCATACTATAGTATATGTATGTATATGTATGTAATGCAGTATACATGCAGTATGTATTAATATATTTTCTTTCTGTTAATTGTGTGCCCAGTTTTGTAAAACCCAGTAAGAGGTTTGAAAAACCATGTGAAGTAAATACAGTTTATGACACTGTATGTATTATATTCGAGAGATAAATGTGCTTTGTAACTTTCTTTGCACGATTTATCGGTTTTAAAAGATGTTCCATCTTTATTGTCATCATCGCCAGACAAAGTTGACTTGGAATGCCTAAAAAGAGATATTGTAAACAATTCCCGAGTCATAAATGAAGAGCTGAAAGAGTGATGTCAAACTATCTTCGAGAAAGCAGATGAGATGTATGGAGCACCTGTTGCAAGTGGTTGTGTCACTTGGCTCCTTGGTGATCTCTAATTGATCATGGCCCTGTGGCCAGATCTGCCACCCTTAGCGTAGAAAACAGTAGTGTTGGAGATTCCGTAATCCCTGTTGGTGTGTCAAATAAAGTCATCCAGCTGTTGTCAGCCAAACATGAGGAGATTCCACAGGCAAGTAACAGCTGCATGTGTTCATCTCTTTATTATAATTTATTAATCGTTTCCTTCTAATTTTAATAGGTTTATACTGGTCCCAATAAAAGATCAGAGAGCATAACTCATGTGGAAAATTTGTAGCACCATGCATATCTCTGTTGGAAATTTTGTTGCTGTTTCCATTGAAGGAAGTGAAAAACCAGTCATTGGGAAAGTCTTTGATATCACTGTGTGTGAAAACGGGGTTTGGAATCCATTACTTGAAAGCGTCTACTAAGACCAAATGGAACACGTGGTTGACAAATTAAAAACTGCATTGGAATTACAAGTTGCCAAAGGAATGTGTTTATCTGCCTGGCTTCCACCTTCACTCGAATTCCAAGTTGCACAAACAAGGGGGAATTTCGTTCTCGACCAATCAACGCTTTTGTTTACATTTTTTCCCTAAGCCAATCAGAATGCGTAAAACGCTTCATCGCATGAAATTTGTAAACAAAAATATGGGGTTACTTCAGAGCTTTTCTGCACGCGGTTTTTTTGTGTTTTTTTTTCCCATGAAATTCATATACGTTGTTCTTAAAAGAATTCTCCTCAACTTCCTCGTGGCGATTTTTGATTAATTGCGTGATTGCGAAGATATGGGTCTTCAAACTTTGCCTTGCGCAAGCTTAAATACCACCCCTCGAATCTGTAGGTTCCGAACGGATTAGCGTTTTTAAAAGCCTTTCAAATCGAGGTTTGAGAGGTTTTATTTTTTAAAAGATACTTTTATCTTCATATTTTCACATTAACTTATTAATATCCTGTGTACCAAGTAAACAGGACATTTCCGGGCTGGGACAAGTTGACATGTCGATTTCTTGCTAAACAGCGTGGCGATCAATATGGCGAATATCTAAGGGGCGGACCATTAGAAATCCCGGGAGGGGGGGTATAAAATTTTTGCGGCACGAATTTTTTTTCAGTCTCATGTGACTGCAGGAATTTTTTTTAATGCACTTAACCTCTGCACGAATTTTTTTCAAGACTACATGTACTTTGCTCATGGCGACCTCCCCCCCCCCGTCGCCAAAAAAATTTCGGTCAGTGTACCAATTTAGGAGTCAAAAATTTTTTCTGGACATACCACATACGAAAAGTTACCACAAAATTGACAGAATTTGTCAATTTTTTTTTTAATAAACTAAAATTGCCCGACTGTTCAGCGAATATTGCCCGACTGCCAACTGCCCGGTACGCCCATGACTTTGCTGTTTGCTTGCACGAATTTTTTTCTCGGACGTAGTGGCTGCACGAATTTTTTTTCCAGGCATTTTTCTTTGCACGAATTTTTTTGGGGGAATTTTCACCCCCCTCCCGGGATTTCTAATGGTCCGCCCCTAAATACAGGGAATTTTTAAAATTTGTTGGTATAAATGGGCTAAAGAAACTCATCAAATATTTGGACTATGGACCACAGGCGGCCCAATCTCTGAACGTCCTATACATTTTGAATATTTAACCATTATAATATTTTAAAATAACAAAATAATTCAAAAAATATTAACAATATATGTAAAAAATATATCTCACTTGTTAATAGAATCCATTTGTTGTGTTTCTGAGTCTAGTTGATGCGATTGCTTTACGTTTTCGTCGTACTTGAACGGTCGTCAGTACTATGGCACTGGACGACATGGCCGTATAGGACATAAATAACTACAAGGCTAGTCACTTATCTGATATACTCTCCGACATCGAGTCCAATATCTCGCCTCAGAATCGTCGCAGAGCAATAAATTTCACATCGTCAAATAGCACGATCGTTCCTCTTTCGAGAGAAGTTGGTTTCTTCACCATTGCGGCAATTCCCGCGACACACGACGAACTTTGTTTGTCAAAAGTCCAAATTTCCATTTTCGACAGACGCGCTAACCCCGTGATCGTCGCCACGAGAGCTGCTCAGCAACCTGGCCTTCACGTTTGAAAACATTCCATCGGAGCTGGACTGGAATGAGGTAACCTGATGTTCAGGCCCTAATTTGAAATAGGGCCTGACACAAAACCTGTGAGACCTTTTAGACACAACATGCAATATGATTGACAAGTGTTATAGATTTCGTTACACAAAATTTTTTTTTCTCATGAACATTGTCCGCAGAGTGTGCATTTTGCTTTATAATTAAACTTAAAAATTCAAGGTACTTTTATATAAATAAGATTCAGACAAAGATTTAATTAGTCAGTTCTGTGCACGGCTAGACTCAACTTGCTGGACGCGGATATTTAAAGGGATATACTTTATTAAAACGGGCTAACAACAGCAACAATGAAATTCTCAATCGTACCACGAAGAAGGCGATGTAGCTCACAAAACAACGCCGGTAGGACCTGATATTAAAAATAAGACTTTTGCCGGCGAAGCCAGTTGGCAAAACATCTTGGCTGTCAACAACAAGCTTTCGAATACATGACTAGTTTGGCTGTTCTTTCGGCGTCGTGTGTCCAAAATTCGTCCACGATTTTGATAAAGCCCTTTCAAAATACTGTTTGTTTGATTTATTTTCTGCCATAAAGCATAAAAGAAAAAGAAATTTGAAGAAATCGATAATGGAATTTGTACGTGCGTTTGACCTTTATATTAATTGTCGCCTTGACCGAGCTATTTTTAAAACTGTTGTTTATGTAAACTTGCAACCAATCAAAATCCTTCATGATGCTGATCAACCAATCAGATTTCCCGTCCACCAGGTGGACGCGAATCTCACACTTTAGATGGGTTTTGTGTCAGGCCTTATTCTGTGATTAGGGCCTGAACTTCAGGTTAGGAATGACGGGGCTTTCAAAGCAACACGATAAAACACACGATATAAATGTTTAATACTTGTTTATTGTCGAATACAGCATGATAAAGTAATAATTTCTATTTATATCGTGTTTTATCGTGTTGCTTTCAAAGCCCCCTCATTCCAGTCCAGCTCCTGCCCCCTGATGGAATGTTTTCAAACGAGGAGGCCAGGTTGCTGAGCAGCTCTCGTGGCGACGATCACGGGGTTAGCATAGAGATTATAAATAACACTAGAGGAGGCATTGTAATCTTAATTCAGTAAAAAAAAGGGAACGCAGCTATTGGGGGGCAAATTCAACTCCCGGATGTGTATTCGTGTTCTCATTGGTGACGAGTTTCAAATCAGCCAATGAGAGCACGATCTTATATCCGGGACTTGAATTTGCCCCCCATTAGCTGCGTTCCCAATTTTTAAACTCGATGCCTCCTCTAGTGTTATTTATAATCTCTATGGGGGTTAGCGCGTCTGTCGAAGATGGAAAATTGGACTTTTGACAAACAAAGTTTGTCGTGTGTCGCGGGAATTGCCGCAATGGTGAAGAAACCAAGTTCTTTCGAAAGAGGAACGTTCGTACTATTAGACGATGTGAAATTTATTGCTCTGCGACGATTCTGAGGCGAGATATTGGACTCGATGTCGGAGAGTATATCAGATAAGTGGCTAGCTTTGTAGTTATTTATGTCCTATACGGCCATGTCGTCCAGTGCCATAGTACTGATGACCGTTCAAGTACGACGAAAACGTAAAGCAATCGCATCAACTAAACTCAGAAACACAACAAATGGATTCTATTAACAAGTGAGATATATTTTTTACATATATTGTTAATATTTTTTTAATTATTTTGTTATTTTAAAATATTATAACGGTTAAATATTCAAAATATATAGGACGTTCAGAGATTGGGCCGCCTGTGTATGGACCTTCAAACTTATGCCAAGCATTTGTTTGATTGATTAGCTCAATAACTGTTTCTTGGCTCGTTTTTCGTCGATTTCCACATTTTGTTGACTTCAGGATCATGTGTCAACATTGCGTGTTGCAGCCTGTGGACATGAATATTTTCGTTTGTTT